TTTGGTCGGACGGGTTTGGCGGAACGGGTTTTTGAATCAACAATAATGAAAAGATTAGAATATCAGTAATCTGCCGCTTCAATACGGATGAAATTTTATTTTTTAATACCACAAATAATAGACATATTATTTTCTGCATATACTGTGATTCGAAATTTTAAAAACGGACATATATTATCCAATTGACGAAAATGTGTGTTCAACGTTCTACATCGATTAAAATATTTAGACAATGATTCAGAATCATATCATAAATAAGAACATTAATAAAATAAATGAGTTTTTTGGTCGGACGGGTTTGGCGGAACGGGTTTTTGAATCAACAATAATAAAAAGATTAAAAAATCATTAATCTGCCGCTTCAATACGGATTAAATTTTTTTTTTTAATACCACAAATAATAGACATATTAAATCAGTCTCATTTAGAAAAGATTGTATAAAACCAAAAATTTTCCCGTGGTATAATGTCCCGTGGTCTTAGGGGATGATATGACTTGTAAACTTTTATATATAATAAATAATCATTAAATTTTAAAATAAAAACAAATCACGGGACGGGTTAAGAAATTATGGAACGGATTATATTTCGAAAAGGATTTATATGGCGGACGAATTTGAATCAATATTTATATACCGCTTTAATACGGATTAAATCCTCAGTTTATTAATAGTTGTCTCGTGGACTCGTGGTATACCGTTACTTAATAACAATTGTAAACTATAATATAAATAAATATGTTATAAGGAGATACAAAATATTTTTATACTAACTTTAAAATTGAATCATCCCGCGGTGTACCGCGGGTTAAAATCTAGTTTAATGGGTAATAAGCTAAGGTAAGGAGCATTCAATCTTTTTCCACGGCAGTTTTTCCGTTCCTAATCTCAGAACTTGATAGGCCTCCGCTTTCCGAATCTTACTACAAATTGACATGCACAATACCTTGACTTGTTGTTGATTGGTTCATACCCCAAATGGGCTCTCGCATTAGCCCTCCTTGTTTTTACTTGGGGTATATGGTCTGTCCTGTGCTAGGGTTATAAACCATCTTAAATCATTATATCTATCTTTGAGCGATATATATTCAGTACATAGCAAGCCACGAACAGGGCTATTGACCAACATGAACCTGTTCTCGTCTGGATTTTGAGGCTGTGGTGACGAGAAGAAGTGCCACTTACCGTTGAGTTTGAACGTAAACAAGAGATGGAGACAACCCGAATACTTTTTCAAGAATAATTCAGTTAAAATTGGACGGTTGAACATAGATCGCAGTGAACACCTCATCAATTTTCTTCTTGATCTCTCCATCAATCGTTGCACGAACTAACGCTTCCTTCAGCAAAGCTTGTGATCTTGTTTCTGCCATTGATTCCGAGGAAGAATGGCTCTGATACCAGTGATAACGTAAATCAGATGATAAAGAACAAAATTGATTCGAAAGATATAGATTGATAACTTGATACAACGTTCATGAAACGCGGCACCAACTTCTCATCTACAAGAGTCTCAATAGAGAAGCTCCAGCAATACGATGAGGAATACCATGAGAATTACAGAGAATTCTCAGAGAACAAAATAAAGAAGAAGATACAATCTCAGATTTTAGCATAATGAAGGAATAAATTGTCTTCAGCTTCTTATTAACCCCATTCTTCTGTTCTCAATCTCCTAAAGATCTTGGCTGTTGCTTTTAATCTTCAATTACCACCATCCACGTGTCATCAATTTATCACCATCCTTTTCCTATATCAGGCGGTTCTCCTCCTCAGAGACGTGCTTCTGCCGTTTTCTCATGGCGTAGACAAAAAGTACTATGTTTTGTTTCTAATTTCTAACTATCTATTTTTTCTTCCCAAAGAGTCAAATCAAACGATACCGACCTTCTTCCACGATTTTTAGAGTTTTTTTTTTTTTTGATTTTGTTATAAAATGTTTTTTAATTCTTTTTTTGGTTTTTAATACTCTATACCTATCTTTGTTATCGTTTTTTTTTATAATTTCTGTTTAAGTTGGAAAACAGAGGCGGAAGACATAAAATTGTCCAAAACAGCATGTAAAACAACAAAAATGCAGGAAAAATCAAGAAACTAAATCCTTTAACAATATACATATATATATACACATTATGGTCCATGATTATTATAAGTTTGAAAAAAAAAAAAATTCAATGCTGAACCAAACTCATACTTCCACATACGTGGCTCTCATCGGCGCTGACGTGTTTTACACTTGTCAAACAAAGCACATGAACTCGCAAACAAACCGTTGATCATCGAATCTTCAATCTTCACCGTTGTCAGGAAAAAAAATAAGTGATCACTGCAAAGTGCGTCGCACTAGATTATGCCTCTCGCTTTATACTATGTGAGATCTTTCTAGTCTTATGTAGAATCTTGAAGCTTCTCTGTTTTTCTTCAATCTCTTTGGTTTTAATCTACAGGTATGTCTAGTGATTTACACAAATTTTTCCGATTAATTTCCCGGAAACTTGTAGAAGTTTTCTCGCATCATTATATTGTCCCTTGTATAGTTGTGTCATGCTACCATCTTTCTTGCTTTGCATGTCCATTTATTGAATATCATTACACAGTGCAATAAATTATATTTGCTTCAATTTTAAACTCACAATTTTTTAACGTAGTTGTAAAAATCAGTTTGCGTTTGCATATACTTTAAGATCCAAAAAAACAGATAACTATTACAATTCAAATTGATTATTTGTTTTTCCACAAATGCAAATTTGGATTTTGATTCGATGTGATAGTATGCTATGAAAACGTAAAGGCCAATAATGCTCAAATTGAGGCCATGTAGTTTATTTGTGTAAGAGAATGGAGCTTTGCTATATTTCAGAACACTGGAAGAATTTGTGAATAATATGTTCTGACTTGTGATAACTGCAATATTTAGGTAACCTAAATGGCTAATGTTCCGAAGATCGGAAAGGCTGTTTATAAAGGACCAAGCGTAGTTAAAGAGATCATATATGGAATAACACTAGGCCTTGCGGTTGGAGGGCTGTGGAAAATGCATCATTGGAACAACCAAAGACGAACGAAGGAGTTCTATGATTTACTCGAGAAGGGAGAAATCAGTGTTGTCGTCGAAGATGAGTAGTTTTCGTGTACGTATCTCAGTTTTAATCTCACAATTTATATATTTGAATTTGGATACATCAATTTATAGTGTCTCGTGTGCTTAACTGAACTGAATTTTGATTGTGTAATTGTTTTCTTGATGTATGAAGGAATTTGTCATCTTTGGAATTGAAGATCAAGAACCAAAAGGAATGTGTCGTGGCTTGTGTGAGGTATGATTTCAATTGTTTTGTTTGAATAAATTTTAGAACAATGAGAGTTTACAAGATATCTTTAATGGTTAGTGTTTTGTTGATGAAGGATATATTGTAATCAGTTTGCAAAAGCTATGTTTGTACTGCTACCGAGTACATAACTCACATGTTGTATTTCCGCTTAGGGAAATCTGATTACTCAAAAATTCTATAATGAATTTTGTGTACACCTACCTCAAAAAAATGGTGAAATATATTCTAGGGAAAAAAAATCATTAGATAGTACGAGTAGTAGAAGATTCTGAAGAGGTATAAGAAGCTTGATCGGTTTTGACCATCGTGTTAAACGTCGTAGTACTATTGGTGCTATGAGATATAGTACTGCTGCCCTCTAGGTCTGTAGTTAGAGAGCTAATCCTCAAGAAGGGAGGATTGGTTGGAGATGGAAACGGGTAATCTCTCTCGGTTAACATGCGGATCACTTCTTCCATCGATGGTCTCAGCCATGGAGAAGCTTGTGTGCATAACAATCCCACACGAAGAACTTTACAAGCTTCATCTTCGCTGCCTTGCACTTGAAGAAACTCATCTTTTAGACATGGGTCAAGGGGTTCGACCAATCTATTCAGTGTATAGAGGTTCCAGACCTAGAGAGAAAAAACAATGGTGGATTTGAAAATTCATAGCAACCTAAACTTTCATTACAAGGAATGTAGTTTTTGGAGATTCTTACTCTTTGTAGGAGATGACCTGTCATTGGTTCGAAAGCGTTGTTTCTTGTTCCACAAGCAATCTCGAGAACAAGAACTCCGAAGCTATAAACGTCTGCTTTCTCCGTTAACTGTCCTCTAACAACATACTCTGGAGCCATGTAACCTCTGTATAAAGTGACAAAATCAGTTTGAAATATTTATTTCGAGCTTAACACATGAATTTGGGTAGTGATTTGAACCATCATGTGTTCTAGTGTTTTTGAGTAGCTTACAGAGTTCCTGCGATGCCGGTGCTAAGATGAGTTTTGTCCAGACCAAAACAACGAGCCAAACCGAAATCAGCGATCTTTGGATTGAGCTGGTCGTCTAGAAGAACATTACTAGTTTTGATGTCACGATGAATAATCCTCACCGGAGATCCACCGTGTAGGTAAGCCAGTCCCTCCGCTGTTCCCAGGATTATGTTTAGCCTCTGACTCCAGTTTAAGACCTTGCTTTGAGTCTCATCTGAAAATCACAAAGCAATAACTTATTAGACTCTACTCTGTTTCTAAAACATTTTAATGTTCCTTTTCTTCTCTATTTAGCCCCAGAGCTTTCAAAAGTTGATCAAATGGTCTTTTCTCTTTATGATAGAAATGGTCCAAGTCTATTAGCGAAAACACCGAATAAAGCCACATATATACACAAAAGCATAGGCTAACAATGAAACAATGTAAGGCTCTAAAGATAAACTTGAGGAAAATTTGTTACCAAAGAGAAATTGGTCGAGGCTTTTGTTAGGCACGTACTCGTAGACCAAGAGACTCTCGGGTCCTTCAATACTACAACCAAGAAGCTTGACGAGGTTCTTATGTTGGATTCCACTAATTAGATTCACTTCGTTGAAGAATTCTTCTACCCATTCTCTTGTGTTGAACACTAATCTCTTCACGGCCACGTTCTTGCCATTTGGAAGGATTCCTAAGAAAACGGTGCCATTTCCTCCTTGCCCTAGTATTTTCTTGGGGCTGAAGTAATCTGTAGCCTTCTCTAGAGTCTCGTACTTGAACTTCGTCTTTGAGTTGTTGAATTTTCTCGAAACTAGACCCAAGTTTCGTTGTTCTGCTCGTGAGGAGATAAGTGAGAAATCAATCGAAAGTTAGGCATATGCATTCATGCATTTATTGAAATGTTTACCTTGCTTGGTCTTTGATACTTTTATCATAATGACATACGTTGCCAAGAGAATGAGCATGACGAATGCTGACGTTGTCAAGACTATAGCCACGATGACACCTTTGTTAAAAAACACTACCACCAAAAGAAACACTACATTATTTTGGTTCATTGTGTATACAACATTAAATATGAAGTTGGATTATTATTGTTTTGAGTTATTTAGAGATTCGATTATTATTATTTTCTTCCATTTATATAACCAAAAAATAATGGTAAAATATTAGAAACACAAAAATAAAGTCGAATCCAAACTAAAACAAAAAATAAAAATAATGGTAAAATGTATATTTTCAATCTACATATCCAAACTCTATATATGACACAAAAATAAACCTTCTAACTATGAATTTTATAATTTATTTTTCTTCTTTTATATATCTTAGAGCATCCTCAACGGCAGGATCTCAAAAATAGAGGTCTGTTGACAAAAAAATATTATTTTTATTATCATTTTTTTATTTAAAATAATTAATTAAAGTCTACCAATAGAATCAATGAATCTGACAAGTTGAGTTTCTCTAAAATCTCTCAACGAGTCTTAAAAGAGAAAGTTAAGCAACGATTCTCTCATAATTAACATTCTCTCTCCTTCTTTTTCTATTTTTTCTATTATTTTAATTATTAGAGTTGGTGTGAGATCCTGCCGTTGAGGATGGTCTTAAGTAACCAAAAATTTTAGAAACACGAAAAAGTCGAATCCAAACCAAAACAAAAATAGCGAAAATTGGTCAAAATACTCAAAAACTATGAAATGTGTATAATTAAAATTTTCTAAATTGAAAGTATGACATAAAAATAACATAATGAACAAATCTTACCATGAAAATTATGATGTCCATCACCATTATAGAATTTATGATCAGAGTATCTAAGATAACACCCAGTATTCATAGCTCTTCCTTCTCTCCTCGAAACGCATCGTTTCACTTCTTTAATAGCTTTCTCCAAACAAACCCTACAATCTTCTTTCCCCAAACTCTCCCAACACTGAGCAAGCGCGTGTACTCCACTCTCTCCGGCGACTCCAAACCCTCCTTTTCTAACCGCGACTCTCACCGCGGTTTCCGAAACGCGAAACCCGAACAGAGGATCCAAAACGGTGTCGTTGCTACAAGAAAAACTATCGGACGTATCGGAGACTGATTCATCGTAAAACTCGTAAGTTTCATAACGGAGGAAACAACCGTCGAGGAAGATTCTTGCGGAGGAAGAAGGTAGACAACGAGGGAGGCGCGTGCGTGCAATCGCGTAACAGAGCTGACAATCGGACGGTGAGAGATCGTCGTGGCATTGGATCAGTGCGTAGATAGACGGCGTGGAGTTTAATGATTCTGTTGCGAAACGGCGTGTAGTTAGTTTAAGAGATAGTGAATGCATATCTTCGACGAACGTTGGGATGTAATTTGGATCTGTGGAGGATTTGCTTCGTCCGCCGCAGAAAAGACCAGAGACGGTGGTTCTTAGATCGTCGTCGGAGGACGACAAGAACGGTAAAAAGAAGAAGGAATAAACAATGATGACATAATGAAACGGTATTGTTTTTGTGAGGCAAGGCATTTCTTTTTAAGTTTTTTTTTTTTATTATGTTGTGATGTTGGTATTTAAATATAGGATTGTATTTGCAGAAAGGCTCATTTGACAATTGACATTAGGACCGGCCAAAATATTTGTTATATCGTTTTATTAAATAATTCGTTTTGATATGATTCAAAAAATTCGAATCATCCTTAACAAGTGAACATGATATATACTAAAACTCCATATTTGTAAAAAAGCAGAACATATTGATATCATTTTAATTTTTTTATCAATTAATTTCAAAAATTCTACATTATAACATATTAATAAAAAATAAAGTGAATTATGAAATGAATATTAAAATGTAACCTTAGATGATTTTTATATTTTAAATCTTTTGTAAATTTTTTACTCATTGTTACGAAATAGATTGGACGATAGGATATTCAATTTTAACATATGTCCGAACACAAAATATCTACCTAATCTCATACGGACACAGATTAAACAAAAAATGAATATTAAAATGTAACCTTAGATGATTTTTATATTTTAAATCTTTTGTAAATTTTTTACTCATTGTTACGAAATAGATTGGACGATAGGATATTCAATTTTAACATATGTCCGAACACAAAATATCTACCTAATCTCATACGGACACAGATTAAACAAAAAATGTTGATCCACAAAAAAACAGAGCGGATCACCAATACAAAAACAACATAGTCCGTTTCGTTTGCTATAGCATAACACAAGTTTAGAGCTTCACAAATTGAATGCATAATAGAATGACTTAACTAAGTAAGAAAATATATTTGACCGAATTAATTAATGATGATGGGTTTTATCACAGATCCCAACGGCACATGAAGTTTTTCCTTCAAGCTCACTCTATGGAAATATGGATTATTTATTTTGGCGAACATCACATGATGTCTATACAGTTATGTTCCCATGGATTATTTGGTATCTTTGCAAAACTAGAAATGATAAAGTTTTCAATAATGTGGACAAAATTCCCATTGACATTTTACGGCTAGAAGAGAACGAAGAGCAAGCATGGCAGTTAGCTCAGATAGAAATCCCGGATGACAATATAGATCCCGGGGTGGTGGATACTCATTCGATTTCTAGAAGTAAAAATATACGGCTGCCCGAAAACGGTTATCAGTGCTATGTAGATAGTTCTTGGAAAGATAGTGATCGTTTTTCTGGATTAGGATGGTTTTGTTGTTATCCGAATGATGGAACGCAAGACATGGGAGCTGCAAACCTTAGAAGAAGTTTAATCTCACTTCACACAGAGGTCGAAGCCTTAATCTCGGCGATGAGATGTATGATCGGCCAAGACAAGAGAGAAGTAGCTTTCCTCACAGACTGCTCTGACCTGGTGAAGATGGTGTCTTCCTCGCAAGAGTGGCCAGCGTTCGCAACATATCTAGAAGCGATTTAGAATGACAAGGAAGAGTTTGAATTTTTTTCCTTATCGTTAGTTTCTCGAAATGCAAATGTGAAAGAGGATAAATTGGTTCGAAATGTTCGTACCCAATCGCATACTATCACCTATGTAAACAATATATTCCTGAGAATTGGCTTTATTTGAATCAATCTAATTTAGTTGTTGAAAAAAAAAAAAAATTAATGACGATGGTAAGTAAAAAACATTTATTTGAATGAGTTAATTGATGATATGTAATTAACGAATGGATGAAGACTGAACGTAAACAGAGAGAGAATGACAAAAAAGCTTTTAGCTTGTATATCTCAAGACTGCATCTTTTCTCATTAGTTAAGTTCAGGAGTACAATGCCTTACTTATATGTAAAAGAGAGACAAAGGAGATTAGGGTTTTAGGAGTGCCAGCTCACTGATCCATATCCTTGAGAGAACTATATCTGTTTGTGAGCTGGATTGAACTAGGAGACAAAACTGTACTTGTTGTTGCAGAGGGAGCTCTGTTCTTGGTCAACATTACCGTTGGATTTGTTGACTGATCGTTGGGCTTCATGGGCCTTGCATTCTGATGGGTTTGTGTTATATTCTTTACATTCCCGCGCAAACTTGAGGTGGGAGAACGCCCAACTCCAAGTTTGAACCTGAGAGAGCAAAAACTATGTGGTGGCAGAGACTTTGTAAAGATGTCGGCCAGTTGATGCGCAGCTGGAACATGTTTTACCACAAGGGATCCATCTGCAACCTTTTCTCTAGCATAGTGGAAATGAGTTTCGAAATGTTTTGACCGTCTGTGTAACACCGGATTGGCTGTGAGATACACTGCTGACAGATTATCACAATATATCTCTGCAGGTCTGTCTTGTTGAATACCAATGTCTTTCAGAAGTGATGTGATCCAAGACAATTCTGCTGCTGTGTCTGAGAGAGCTCGATATTCAGCCTCTGTAGATGATCTTGCAACTGAATCCTGACGTTTTGCAGACCATGATATGAGATTCAAGCCTAGAAAGGTACAGAAACCTCCAGTGGACCGACGAGTGTCTGTACATCCTGCGTGATCACTGTCACTATAGGCTCTTAAGACTGAGTCTGTATCATTACTCAGAGTCAGCCCCATATCAATGGTTCCTTTTAGATACCTTAGTGTTCTTTTAAGGAGAGCAAAGTCTGATACTGATGGCTTGTGCATTTTCTGACAAATGTAATTGACTGCAAATTGCATGTCTGGTCTTGTGAGAGTTAAATATTGTAGCTTCCCTGCAAGAGACCTGAAGTAAGAAGGGTCTTCAAATTCTACATCTTGATTGGGCATTCTATGCAGTTGGATGGGTAGAGGAGTGGGCATAGGAGCACAATTCAACATTCCTGCATTTTCAAGTAAGTCTCTAGCATACTTTTCTTGATTTAAAAACAGACCTTCTGGAGTGAATGTTGCTTGGATCCCGAGAAAATATTCCATGTCTCCCATATCTTTCATTCTGAATTCCTTCCTTAGAGAGATCAAGAGATCATTGATTAGAGCTTTGTCATTCCCTGTGAGGACCATATCATCAACGTAGAGCAACAAGAGCATGATACTTCTGTTTCGTCGATAAACAAACAAAGATGGATCTCTTGGGCTGCAGATAAAACCAAATTTCAGCAAGTATGAGCTAAATTTATCAAACCAAGCACGAGGGGCTTATTTTAGGCCATAAATAGCCTTGTGGAGTCTGCAAACATAGTCCGGGTGAGTTTTATCTTCAAAGCCAGGCGGCTGTCTCATATACACCGTCTCTTGTAAGTCGCCGTGAAGGAAAGCATTCTTCACATCAAGTTGCTTAATGTCCCATTTCTCCACTGTTGCCACATGAAGGATCATCCTTACAGTTGGAGTCCTTACAACAGGGCTAAAAGTTTCAAGAAAATCAACTCCTTCCTCTTGTTCATAGCCTTTTGCTACTAGACGAGCCCGGAGTTTGTCTAGTGTACCATCAGCTTTAATCTTAGTCTTAAACACCCATTTGGAGCCTAATACATTTGCATTTGCAGGAGCGGGTTCAAGACTCCAAGTTTTGGTTTCATGACAAGTGTCTATTTCTTCAACCATGGCTCCATTCCAGCCATCATGCTTTAGTGCTGCAGTGATGGTTTTAGGTTCTTCAGGAAGACCAGTATTGGCGAGAAGAATGTACCTCGGGTTAGGTTTCACAATTCCGGATTTAGCTCTGGTGGTCATTTGATGAGCATTGCTGGTAGCATTTTGCGGAGACCCTAAAGGAGGGAAGTCTTCTTCTGTAAATAATGCTGAGTCTACAGATGAGGACGATGCCACTGTTGAATTTTCCTCTGTACTTGAGCCTGTTGCAGAATTTGACGTCTCAGGTTGCGATATAGGTGTGGGCTCAGTTGCTTCTGCGACAGTTTGATTCAGAACTAGTGGAGCTTGAGTGTGTGGAGTAGTGACTGCTTCAGTTCTGTTTTGTGAGATAGAAGACTGGACAGGGACTTCCACATCATAATTTTGTTCAGATGAACTTTGCTGCCAGGCTGATAACAGAGGAGTTGTAGCAGGTGGCAGAAAGGATCTGTAAGTATCCTTATATGGGAATCTTGCTTCATCAAAGAGAACATGCCTGCTAATGTAGACACGTCCAGTAGGTGGGTGAAAGCACCTGTACCCTTTGTATTTTTCATTGTATCCCACAAAGACACACAATAAGGATTTTGGATCGAGCTTGTTCTGAGCATAAGGTCGCAAATAAGGATAGCACGCGCAGCCAAAAACTCTTAAGGCAGTATATATTGGTGCTTTGTTGTTCAACATCTGATATGGGCTTATCATTGAGTCATGAACAGATGTTGGTAAGAGATTGCTCAGAAAATTTGCTGTAAATAGAGCTTCCACCCAGAGATGCTGTGGAAGATGGCCCTGAAACAGCATGGAGAGCCCTAGTTCAGTAATATGTTTATGTTTCCTCTCAGCAAGACCGTTTTGCTGTGGAGTATGTGGACAAGAGATGAGATGTTTGATCCCACACTGTGCAAAATGATCCAGGAATTGTTTGTTGACAAATTCTCCACCACCATCACTCTAAAACATTTTTATTCTCTGACCATATTGAGTCTCCACCAGGTTTTGAAAGGTTTTGAATATGGAAACAACATCAGACTTCAACTTTAGAGGATAAAACCAACTAAAACGAGAATAATTGTCAATGAAAACAACGTAATAACGAAATCCTTAGACTGACTTGACAGGAGAAGGACCCCATACATCACAATGCACTCTTTCAAGAGGCTTAGTAGCTTCAAAAACAGACTTAGAGAAAGGAAGTTTGCAGACTTTTCCTAACTGACAGGACTCACACATGGCCAATGTGTTTTTATTGACTGAAATAGCTTTGATAGACGACAGATGCTGAAGAACTTGATGGTGAGGATGCCCCAATCTTCTGTGCCAAGTCTCATCACTGGTACTCTGCTGCCTGGATGAGTAAAAAGCCGTAAACTGGGGATTCTCCAACCGATACAACCCTTCATGTTTGCTTCCCCGACTTAGAATTTGCTTTGTCTGTTTGTCCTTGATGTACACAGAGTTAGAATCAAAGATGAATTTACAAGGGTAATCATCAGTTAATTTAGACACAGAGAGTAGAGATTTAGTAATCTCTGGGCACACAAGAACATCTTTTAGTTGTAGATTACCTGACATTGCTGGTAAGGGAATAGATCCAATGTGAGTAATGGGAAGGAAATCTCCATTACCAACAACTATCGCATCAGACCCCTCATAGTTTTGTACCTGATGCAGATTGTTTGGAGAATT